GACCGACACGACGCGCCGCGAGTCGCGCGCCCTGGGCCACCACGTGCGCGTGCTCTCGGCCGCGCTCGCCGCCGCCACGGGCGTGCACGACTGGAACGTGGTGCAGAACAACGGCGCCGCCGCCGCCCAGGTCTTGCCCCATGTGCACTACCACGTCATTCCGCGCCCGGAGATTCGCGCCAGCGGCCGGGTGAGCGAGAGCTTCACCATGTTTGGGAGGGGGCAGCGCGCCGAGCTGGACGACGACGAGGCCGCGGCCCTGGCGGCGGGGATACGGGCCGAGGTGGCGAGGGTGCTGGCCGACGACGAGGGGGATGGCGAGGATGAGATTGGGAGGAAGGCCAAGTTGTAGGGTTTGGGGCGCTTGGAGTGATACCCTGTTCTTTTTTTTTTGGAGGAGCATGTTTTGACCATGTGCGGTGCGGAGTAGATGGCATTTTTTGTATGATGGGTACATATAGATGGGGGGGTTTGCATAATTAGATGTGGTGGTGTAGATTTGACGCTGGCTTGGGTTTTACGTTGTATATAAGTAGCTGCTCTGGCTTGTGGCGTGTCTGAGCTGGATCTACTCGGGTCTTTATAGTGGTGGGAACGCTACGATGGATGATATCGTGTTTGGAATAGAAGCATAGGTTGTGGTTGATTACGTAGGCATGACTTCGCAAGTGTTTTTTGTTTCATTTTCAAGACAGATAATAATACAAGCATCACAAGCAGTCATAGCTTATAATATTGGTTACAAGTTGGTAGGAACTATGGGTGATGCTGTCATGTTTGAAAGCATAGGTTGTGGTTCATCACGTGGATTGACTTTATTTCTACTATTAATAGCTGGTTGGAACACTCTATTGATGTTGCTGTGTTTGCAATGTAGACGCATGTTTTGGTTGATTCGTTACGCAGACTTGATATGGCTATCCAGACCTATATTCACCAGGTACACATATCAGTATACACTGAGATGGCCACGATTGTATTTCCATGCATTGGGGAAACTTTCGGAAGCGTTTTACCCAAGTTTTCGTCTGATGGAAATGCAGGCGAGCCAGTTGGCGTTGAGCTGCAGCTTCCAGCATTGCCTCAATACGATATAATGGGAGCTCCCCAATCTGATGAATTAAAGGTAAAATACTCATGAGCCACTAGCCCATGAAAGTGGCTTCCGCTATTTACGTGCAAATGCATCGTCAACCTCACACTTGTGTGACTGATGCCAAAGCCGGCCGCAGGCCAGAGCTCACCGCAGGCGGCCCCCGGCAGGGGAATATACAAAAAAAAGTCTTAATTTCACAAGAGCGCATAAATTTAGCAGCTTGATGGCTCAAATTTAGCGGGTGCCCGGCCCTCTTTCCTTTCGCTACCCCAGGTCAACAACTCGTTGGCATCAAGGCCCTGCCGTCACTCGTCGTCGCCGAAAAACACCCTGACGGGCAGCCAGGCGTCCTTGCAGACCTTGAAGCGCTCCTCGACGGCGTCCAGGCTCGCGACCTCGTCGTCGGTCAGGCACCACCCGTCCAGGGCAAAGTTGGCCTCGATGCGCGCGGGCGTGACGCTCTTGGGGATGACGCTCCAGCCCTTTTGCAGCCCCCACGCGAGGAGCACCTGCTGCGGCGTGCGGCCCTTGTGGCGGGCGAGCTCGAGCAGCGTCTGGTTCGTGTGCAGCGGCGAGTCGGTCGAGCCCAGGCACGAGTAGCCCGTGCTGTGGATGCCCCTGGCCGTGTTGTAGGCCACGAGCTTGGGCGACGGGTTGCAGGGGTGCAGCTCGATCTGGTTGACGGCGGGGACGATCTAAGGACGGTTAGATGTCGTGTTTTTCTCTCGAGGTGCTGGTCGTTTCGCAATGGCCGGCGCCGTACACACGTACCTTGCAGCTCTCGTCGGCCAGCAGCTTCTCCAGGTGGGCGATGCCAAAGTTGGACACACCAATGTTGCGCGCCTTGCCCGTGGTCGCGAGCTTCTGCATCTCGCGCCAGGTGTCGACAAAGTCCCAGTCCGGCACGAGCTTGGTGTTGTCGTCTGGGTCCGTCGCCGCCGGCCAGTGCACGAGGTACAGGTCGACGTAGTCGGTGCCCAGGTTCGCGAGGCTCTCGTCCAGGGCGGCGGCGGCGCGCGTCTGGTCAGGGTTGTTGAGCTTGGTCGTGAGCCAGATGGAGGAGCGCGGCACGCCCGACGCCTTGATGCCCGCGCCGACTTGCTTCTCGTTGCCGTATGCTGCTGCCGTGTCGATGTGGCGGTAGCCGCGGCGGAGAGCGGCCTCGACGGCCTCTTGGACTTGGCTGGGCTTGGATTGCCATGTTCCCAGGCCGATGGCGGGGATTTTGGCTCCCGTGTTGAGCGTATATGTGCGGCTGCGTGTTTTGGCTCAAGGTCAGTTTGCTGTTGTTGGAGAGTTGAACTTTGGCTCGGCTGACTCACGAGGTTTGGCTCGCCATGGTTTGGAATGTGGTGCTTGGATGGTGACGGCCCTGATGGGAACGACTGAGGAAGGGGAGCAAAGTTGAATCCCTCCTTCGAATGCAAAGACCGCTCGCTTGAATAGCAAAAGAAAAGTCACTCAGTGCTCTGATGCGTCCACTGTGCCAAGTTCGTGGTTTGCTGCTTCCCCTCTTCTTGTATTACACGAAAACACCATGCATGACCACGGACCAGGCGTGACGTAGCGAGTGACTACTTCTCCACACTCGGTTCGACTTGGCGTTTCAGCTCGGCTGTCGCGACTCGAAGCAGCACGTCTTTTCAAAGCTGGCAAGGCCAAGGTAGTATCCCGCCAGTTGACAAGGTTGCAAGGTCATGTTGCATTGTTGTGTGTCGTTGAACTTGTGGTCGCAACGGATCAAAGTGCTAAACCACGGTAGATCTCGAATCGTGCCGGGGCTCATCGTGGCTCTGCTGGTTATCCGCGCGTGTATCTTGAATTCCAGTACACGTCGATAACCAGCAGAGGGTTGATGAGCCCCGGCACGATTCGACATCTGCCGTGGTTCAGCGCCTTGACCCTTCAAACCTTGATCAAGCTACAAGGTAATGCGGTTCCTTGGCAATGGATGCGGCTTGGTTTTTGTAGGTCAGTGAGACAAGTGGTCTGTCATCTAGTAGAGACAAACGTTGTTAAAAGAATACTTACGAGTAGGTAAATGCGCCGCGTGCGGCAGAGCAGGGTATAGGGTAGGGTGGATGTTGTGCCGATTTCGAGATGCAGACTGCGGGAAGAGTTTCCGGCTCTGAGGAACATGTGCTATTAGCTCATGAGACATATTTATGCACCAGTGCTGCCAAATTTAGGACAACATGGAGGGCATGGTTATGGCCGTTTGAGACTATGCGCAGATTAACTAGCTGGTAGCTACTAGTACACTCGGACACAGTTGCCATACTCCTTCAACATCCTTCCAACAAGGACAAGTCCCCAGACAGCAGGAACAAAGAATGCGAAGAAAAGTGTGGTTGAGAAAGAATTTCCGCTTGCGAAGGGATATCGTAATAGTGTCAATAGGCTCAGCGGCAAGGTGTTGGCGTGGATCCAAATTCTATACAACAGACGAATCATCCGGTGGTGTAGGCTCCCATATACCCTGTTGTGAAAGCCGAGCCGACGAAATGATTCCGGAGTCAGCAGCCGATTGTTGTTGGACCAAAATTTTCGAAGGATCGGTGCGGGAACTGCGGCTTTGCCTTGCGCTAGGAATACCTGATTTGCTATCATGATTCCTAGACATTGTTGGATTCCGGTCCACATCATCTGCACAACCCGTTGCGTGTCTACATCTTCTATGGGTCTTCTGAACCGAGATATAGCCATGATAATTACGACAGGCAAAAAACCAAAGAACAAGGTACTATTGATGTTAGCTATGAGGCCGCAGCAAAAGGTTTAGCACAGTTTGGAATGTACATTACGAGCAGGGTGAGCCTTGCAGACACACCCTCACGCTCAATTTCATGTGACGCACTGATAGTGACGAATATATCTGGTAGAACGCCGTCAGATATAGCTTCGTCGGGAGTAAGCAGCCGTAATCGCGCGTCTTGCTGGAACCCGGGAATCCCAGAAACCCACTTCTGGCCTCCGTCTTCCTCGCCCGGCAGATGCAATGTTACAGGTTCGCCTTTTTCTGTTTGCAGAACCTTGCCGACTATGCCGTGAAATTGTAGGTTGTGCTGTGACCTTATTTCTTGCATGACATCGTTCTCAACAAGAAACAAGCAATCATATTGTGGGACAAGGGCATTTGCAAGCAGGTTGACTGCAGCCATTACCGCGTAAGGGGCGACAGTGAGAGAAAAAGCCGCAGCGCCATACAAGTCGACCTGGTTCCCTTCGGCCCGAATAAGAACGAAAATAGAGTAGCAGAGCTGAAGAAATGCAACCAGGCTTTTCGTTGCATTTCGCCTTTTGGACAGCAGTTTTAGAGCTGTCAGTCCGTCGCAGGGTTCTGCAGCAGGTTCTACCATCGAGTTGATTGGCACATGGGCCAACAGATATCCTGGCACAGAGGGACATTGGCCGTATATTTCAGAGTCGGTGTTGAACTCATCTTATCATACTGTGTAAGCGTCAGAGCCGTGCAGCCAAAGAATAAACCCGTTCAATGACTACCTATCTTTACTGGTGCCAAGTGAAGCGATAGGCCAGTAGTGTAGGAGCTGAATACATATTTATTTACTGACCTCCCGCCGTCCTTGTCGATTTTCCACCTAAACTAGTTACAACGGCAAAGGACAATAGACCGTTGCGCACCATTAAACTTGAATCTAATTTTGCTATATATTTACACTTTACCTCCCTCTTCAGCCCAAAGTCTTGACCGCTCAATCATGCAATTTGCTTTCCAAAAGATGATTCTGGTAGGCCTTCTTTCTATTAGGGCAATAGCTACACCCGCAGGTAAGCATAACTATAACTAACTGAAAATCTTAAGTCCTGAACTGTACTAATAGTCTGTTTATTTAAGCTAAGGATAATAATATTATAACTAAGCGTGACTTTAACTGGTAATTACACGCTAAATATTATACCCTAGAAGGTAAATATAATAATAAGGTTTATATTAACAGGATTTAGTTTAAACTAAGTTTATTTATAGAAAATACACTTATTAGTAAATATTTAGCTAGAATTCTTAGTTTTTATTAACTACTTTTTAGCAGTAAATTCTAGCTTATTTCTGGTGTTAAGTGTTTATACTGGATTTATTTAAATAACCTAATTAGCTTTAAGACTTAATACGCTATAAATTAAAACGAAATAAACCTAGCTAATATAAATAAAGAAATTTATTTCTAGTTAATTTTCTAGTATTTAAATTAGTTT